CATTAAAAAGAAAATTTAAGTGAACTAAAGCTCAAATGGAAAGTGCCAGATCACTTGCTGTTCCCGAGAGTTCCTAGAAAACTTGAAATAAATTCCCAAATACGAGATCTGGTGGTTGTTGCTGTTGTCGTTGCTGTTGTTGCCGTTGTTGTTTCTTCCAATACCGAAAAATCTTCACTGTCCTGCTTCAGTTCTTCACTGTTTTCACGGTCATTCAAGCAAATGGCATCTGGAAAGGCAAAATTTTTGGATTCATTAAAAACGAATTACTACTTCTCTTGTTACTCTTACTGCTATTGCTATGTAAATTAAAAAACAACAGCCCTAATTCCTAAGAATTGCCCGCAAACACCTGAACATTGAAATTGTGGATTTATGCAAAAGAAACACTCCGTTAAATTGTTATCAGCTTAGTCTGCGAAGTGAATTTACTAGTTCATCCCACACTAATTTATTAAATTCATTAAAATTCATTAAATTAAAATTAAATTCATCCATAAATTCATTAAAATGATAAGTAGCAGCCATTCGAAGGCCGAATCAGAATTGGACGGTTCAAGCAGGGGGATGGTCGAAGTGGGTTAAACTGACAAAAAAAAGTTTTTTTTTTGGCCGTTGGTAGGCCGAACCATAATTTGTGAGGTAACGACCAATTTGAACCGCGGAAAATATGGAACATCCGAAATCCTTAAATTTTAATGTAGGGCACAGTTATTAGTTAATGGATTATGATGGAAAAGATAGTAGAGCTGTTAACGTGGTACAAACCGTATGACGATAAGCTTCGTCTCTACGTTTCCGTAAAATTGCAATGGTAATCTGCATAAAATTTTCGGCAAAATTTTGAAAAAAAAACCCAAAATTTCGATGTTTTGATTTGAAAAACAAACCTCCATTGACGGATTCCTGCATGGGGATTTTGGGCTTCTTTTGGGGTGGTTCAGTGGAGAAAGAGGAGCACTGAGGTGACGAGTGAAGTCTTACGAAACTGTGATTTCGCAGTAACGAGTTGCGCTGGAACAGTTCATCGCTCGAACGCAGGGCGGCTAACATCAAAGCCGGCGAGAGAGCCGATGCGCCACCTTAAAAAACCGTTTAGCATACAAGACATTCAAGAAGAGCCCGTGAAGCGAAAATGCAATGAAATATTATTTCTATATGACATTTTTAGGGGATTTTCTTCGACAAAGATAAAAGCTAATTGGCAGTTTCTCCCCCCACTCCCTGTCTTTCCCTCCCTGTAAGAAACTGCCGGTGTTGTGGACACACAAATTTGGCGATGTCTTACAAACGAAAAAACTAGCACTGCGATGTGTTGGATGTTGTATTACTGCCTTTATTTTAGGTGTTGTACTGATATTACTATTCGTAGAAGCACTGATTCCGCTA